AGTTTCAGCATCTCCGAAGTTAAGAGAAGGACGAATACGAACAATATTCCGCAGGTGAAAGAAACATGATTTAACAGTCTGACCGATGAAAGCATAACGTGGGGTCAAACAAAACTCCCAGGTTCCACGTTAATCTGAACACCATCAGTATCAATAAAAATGTCATGCCCGGGTAAACTCTCCCAATTAACAGCATTAAGCTGTAAGAAGTTATCAGACATGCATGTTTTAAGTTCCTGAAGGCAGGAAATAGCAGAAGCGGGTGGACAAGGTGACTTGGGGTTAATCGTGCAATAAATTTGAATATCATCAGCGTAACTATGAAAGTTGAGACCATGCTGTCTGATGATCTGGCCCAATGGCAGCAAATAAATGAGAAACAGAAGGGGACCAAGGACAGAGCCTTGAGGTACACCATGAGATATAGTGACATAGTCGTTCTTCCTTTGAGCTTCAAGTAAACCATAATCTCACACACACGTCATCAGCACACAATGCTTCAGTTCCAGAGCCTTCTCCCTCTCTGGTCCTCACGCTGATGACATCACTCCAGCACGCGCGCGATTGGCTACACCGCTCTTCGTCCTTCAGGTTCACGTTCTCTTTCCAGAGAGAATTTTATTAGACAAATAAAAGCTTTAGATTCGCCCTGTGAACAAACTATAAATCACGTGCTTTATGGCTATTAGCGTGTGTGAGGAGAACAGTAGCTTCAGCACAGAGGAGCTGTAGGGTTCTCCGGGGGAGTCCACACACACACGCGATGATGAGAGAAAACGACAGAAAACACGAACGCATCAGTTCCTGAACGGACGTCTGCAGTGATCAGGACTGATATCCAGAGCATCCGCTTCGGCTCGCAACCGAAATCCTGGAATTGAATAGTTGTTTAAAGTTTAACACTTGGATTCCTCTCATCGATTCCTCTGTGTGTATCTCAGCTAGGGGTGGGCGCTATACCGGTATGAACGTGAATACCGGTATTGTGTTGTGCCATGATATGGATTTTGCGATACCGAGGATACCGTATTCATAAATTCAAATTTTGCAGTTATATTGTTTTGTTCAATTTGGTACTCTTTACAACTGATGACGATACAGAAACGAATACACTGTTTAAGGAAATGGCTGATTTGGCGCTTCATACGCGTGAAGTTGCTGAGGCGATTAACCGCTGTCCTGTGACGCGTTCAATGAAGGATCGTGACGTAGAACACATCGCTAGTGCTAAGCGGCTGTTCATAAAGGATGCATCTTTTGCGGTGGAATGGGAAATAACAACAAGGTATATGAGTACATATATGTGAATAACATGAATAACAAGGTAATGAGACGCGAGTTTGACTTTTAACTTGATTTTTAGAATGCCGTTTCATTTGCGAGACGCGGGTGCAACACCAAAACAAGTTCGTCAAGCACAAACAAACGTTAAAGTTCCAGGCTACTGTATGTTTGAGATGTCATGTTTTCATGAAGGTTGAAAGGCTGAAAGCTGCTATTATTATCTTTGTTTTTACAAAACATTTACTGCTAATAATATTATCCACGTGGAGACATTTCCCCGCAATGTAACGTTAGGCTATGAATAACAGGACACGACACACACATAACCGTGCGCATACACACGACACACACATAAGCGCGCATACACACACACTGGTCCACTATCTGTGTGGGGACTCTCCATAGACGTAACAGGGTTTATACTGTACAAACTGTAGGCATTTATTCTGTCTCCTTACACTAATGAATTAGTTTGTATGAACATTTTCATTGTTTTTTTCTTGTATACTTTTAAGTTCTATTTATTTGGTGCTTTGTTCAATCTCAAACCATTATTTTATTTTTATTATTAAGATGTCTTTTAAGAGTTCTGTGCAAACTTTAAACTTAAATTAAACGTCTCGCTTTGGTCTACACTGGAAGTGTTCTGCTCGCTCTGCTAAAGCAAAACTATAATTACTAAAGCTGAAACTAAATAAAATAAAAACTATATAGAAATGTGTTTGCAAAATAAAAACTAACAAAACCGTTAATGAAACTAGCTAAAACTAAACTGAAATTTAAAGCAAAATTGAAAACGATATTAAAATAAAAAACTAATTTAAAAAAGCAAAACTATAACAACAGATATTCCCGGAGACAGAGCACACCCGAAGACGGCTCTCACTCAGAAATCAATAAAGTCTTCATTCGCTGCCGGTTCTCATTATGACAAGACGAGCAAAAAGTGGAAAGACATAACAAGTGCATTCAGGCCTACCTCATGTTGCACGTTTGCACTTTTTGAGAAAAAAAAAGGCAAAAAAAAAAAAACACATTTCAGGTCTATGTCCAATGAAATGCCTCACCTTTTTCTAGTTATCTACTGTTAAAATACATATTTTGCCTGTAATTTAACTAAGGTGTACTAAAATGTGATTCCAATTTTTTTTCTCATATCGCGATATAATATCGATATCGTCCGGACAGTGAAAAATATCGTGATATGAATTTTTGCTCATATCGCCCACCCCTAATCTCAGCATGAGTGTAAAGCACTCGAGTGAGAGACTGTGTGTTAGGGTTAGGTGTGTGTATCAGTGAACTGGACGCGCAGCTCTTAAAGTGACAGCACTAATATTCCTCCGTCTCTATAACAACACTAATCACACAACAGGAGACTGAGAACATCCACTCGCTCTTCACTGAATAACTTCTGTAACTATTTATAATGTATATTTTACTTATAAAGTGCAGAGTTAGAGAACACACATGAGCAGTTAGTGCAGGGTTAGAGAGACGGGAGCGTACCGGCAGAGCGCCTCGGCGTCGAAACACCTGGCATGCCTGTGATCGATGAGGATCAGGTCGTGGTTCTTCTCCTGGAAACTCTCCAGCGCCGCTTCGGGTGTTCGGGCCACATTACACCTGAACCCAGCCCGCTCACAGGCCCAGGTGAAGCTGCCGCTCTGAGCGTCGTCTTTGGCAAACACTAACAGTACCTACACACACACACACACAGAGTCTTCATCAGTGCGTTCAAACACAAAAACATGAGGTGATCCGAGAAATTTAGTTGCAAACCCAGACATATTACGCCCCTTTTCACCAGAAGTAATATAAATCTCTGGCGTCCCCAGAATGTGTGTGTGAAATCTCAGCTCAAAATACCAGATCATTTATTACAGCTCGCCAAATTTGCCCCTTTTTGTGTGTGAGCAAAAACACTCCGTTTGTGTGTGTCCCTTTAAATGCTAATGAGCTTTAGCTCCGCCTAAGTTCAGAAGAGGGCGGAGCCTTCACACGAGCTTCAGAGATGTGTGTGTACGGACGGTTCAGACGCTCGGCGTGATGTGTGTGTTCTGTGGGATCAGCGGAGGACAAACACAGGAAAAGGAAATCACTGTTGCACTTTCCTACAGTAATGAAAGCTCTAATGCTAACGCTAGGGCTGCACAATTCAGACTAATCATTTCACAGCATTCTGTGTGTATCTGTGTGTATCTGTGTTTATCTGTGTGTATCTGTGTATCTGTGTGTATCTGTGTGTATGTGTGTATCTGTGTGTATCTGTGTGTATGTGTGTATCTGTGTGTATCTGTGTGTATGTGTGTATATCTGTGTTCCTGCAGTATTGAGTGTCGTTGTGTTTTGTCACTGTTGATAGTCCAGTTCAGGAGTTAGACAGGAGTATGAGAGAGAAGAGACGGGCCGAGACTCAAACTGTGACTCACGCTATAAGACTTTATCCAATCTCAGACGTGTGTGTGTGTGTGTCCATTGAGCGCTGGAATGCCACAGCCAATCAGAGCAGTTCTTCATTCATTCATTCATTGTGTTGGAGAACGTGGTTGATGATAACCAAGGTTTAGGACGTATCCGCTCACTCGAACCCCAGACTCCATTTGTTGTAGCCACCATAGACTGTATATAAATATGTGCGTAGTGAGTGAGCGTGACGTCACCCGTCGGTTTCTGTAGCCCAAAGTGGGCGGAGCCAGTCGTCGCCATCTTGGCAGCGTCACTCCCGGATAAACAAACATGTACAGCGAGGCGGATTAGCTGAGGTGACGTGACGCTAACAAACGGCTAGCAGTGACATCAGCGGCAATCCACCTGTCACTCAAGTGGCCACGCCCTTAATTATGCAGAACTTTAAGGTTTAATATAATTTAAACTGATAAGTTATAAAAATATTCACCTCCCTCACAGTCGTCATGAAGGGCAACAATAGCGATATAGACCAAAAACACTTTTAGCACCAGGCCGTAAACATGTTTATTCTGCTGTAAAGTTGGGCATTTTAACATGCGGGTCTATGGGACTGAGTCTCTTCTGCAGCCGGCCTCTAGTGGCCAGTGGAGGAACTGCAGGTTAGGGCACTTCAGTGTTCGTTTCAAGAGAGAGAGAGGAAGGTTTCTGCTTGGTTTCTACACCGGTTATAGAATTCAGTGACATTACAGGCTATTCAAATCATTCCAACGCCGCGTGCGTCTCTGCAAACACACACTCTGCAAACACACACTCTGCAAACAACAGATCATGGAGAGATTATTCATATTCTCACAGGAGCTCCAGAAATCCCAGGACACACCAGTCTGATTCACTCAACCGGCCTAAGATTAGCCTGAAGAATTAATGAGCGATAATGAGCCTCTCAATATAGAACACACTCACACACTCACACACCGAACAGTCGTACCTGCAGTTGATCTTCATAGAGCTTCATTGGTCCGAACTGCACCTCCGTCAACGGGCTCTGAAACGACAGACGAGAACAAATCTGAAATCTGAACAGACACAGAGTTGATGATCCCAGCATCCTCTCTGGTGATGCTCAGTTACCATGGAGACCGTTCCTCTGCGGGACAGCATCCCAAAAGATCATCGGACAACATGAGAAAAGTGAACGGAAACACGCGCATACGCACACGCGCGCACACGCACACACACACACACACACACCTGTTTGATTTACGGGAAACTGGGCTTGAGATACAGCTAAACATTCATATATTTCTGTATAGAATGCCATTGGTACAAAGTACATACAAATTATTAACTGCAAAATCAACAGAGATATCAGATATATTGACCACTTGCTGTTTTTTACTCCAGCTGAACTGAACTAATGAAATAAAGCTGATCTTTCCAACACTGAAGTCTTCAGATGAACCCTCTCCTGTAGAGCTGCTTTAAGCCTAGTTCACACTACATGATTTTAAGCCCGATTTGCAAATCGTTGAGCTCGCGTGCAAATCGCAGGGGATTAGCGGGCGATGAACGCTCGCCAATCTGTTAGTATGAAAGAGCCAACAACGCATCGAAGACGCTCGCAGACGCCTCGCAGACGCGTCGCAGAGCCCAGAAAAATATCTAGCATGCTAGATACCCAGAGCTGAAAACACTCCTGATTTCAGAGAGAGCAAGTCATGTAGTGTGAACCGCACAGTTCACCCCGACGTTTTAAAATCATGTAGTGTGAACTAGGCTTTACAGTGGAGCAGAACTGCATCATCATCTCTATCCTCTATCCTCCATCACTGGAACACACACTGCACTGAACTGCATCATCATCACTATCCTCCATCACTGGAACACACACTGCACTGAACTGCATCATCATCTCTATCCTCCATCACTGGAACACACACTGCACTGAACTGCATCATCATCTCTATCCTCCATCACTGGAACACACACTGCACTGAACTGCATCATCATCACTATCCTCCATCACTGGAACACACACTGCACTGAACTGCATCATCATCACTATCCTCCATCACTGGAACACACACTGCACTGAACTGCATCATCATCACTATCCTCCATCACTGGAACACACACTGCACTGAACTGCATCATCATCACTATCCTCCATCACTGGAACACACACTGCATCATCATCACTATCCTCCATCACTGGAACACACACTGCATCATCATCTCTATCCTCCATCACTGGAACACACACTGCACTGAACTGCATCATCATCACTATCCTCCATCACTGGAACACACACTGCACTGAACTGCATCATCATCACTATCCTCCATCACTGGAACACACACTGCATCATCACTGCATCATCATCTCTATCCTCCATCACTGGAACACACACTGCACTGAACTGCATCATCATCACTATCCTCCATCACTGGAACACACACTGCATCATCACTGCATCATCATCTCTATCCTCCATCACTGGAACACACACTGCACTAAACTGCATCATCATCACTATCCTCCATCACTGGAACACACACTGCACTGAACTGCATCATCTCTATCCTCCATCACTGGAACACACACTGCACTAAACTGCATCATCATCACTATCCTCCATCACTGGAACACACACTGCACTGAACTGCATCATCTCTATCCTCCATCACTGGAACACACACTGCACTGAACTGCATCATCACCTCTATCCTCCATCACTGGAACACACACTGCACTGAACTGCATCATCATCACTATCCTCCATCACTGGAACACACACTGCACTGAACTGCATCATCATCTCTATCCTCCATCACTGGAACACACACTGCATCATCACTGCATCATCATCTATATCCTCCATCACTGGAACACACACTGCACTGAACTGCATCATCATCACTATCCTCCATCACTGGAACACACACTGCATCATCACTGCATCATCATCTCTATCATCCATCACTGGAACACACACTGCATCATCATCTCTATCCTCCATCACTGGAACACACACTGCACTGAACTGCATCATCATCACTATCCTCCATCACTGGAACACACACTGCATCATCACTGCATCATCATCTCTATCCTCCATCACTGGAACACACACTGCACTGAACTGCATCATCATTAGGGCTGCAACGATTAGTCGACGTTGTCGACAACGTCGACAATAAAAATTTGTCGACAAATATCTTTGTTGTCGAGTAGTCGTTTGATCTCACGTGACCTAATGTAAGGGCCTGCAATCCCGCGATTTGAACGCTATGGCGCTGTAGCGCTAGAGTGTAGTGCAGCCCTTACAAATGCTATAGAGGGGTTTCACCAACGTCACGTTCTGGGCGGTAACCCGGATGCGCGGCCATTATGGAGGCACTCGGATGTAAACAACAGCATGGATTGCACTGTTTATGTACTACTGAACACATTGTTACACTAATAAACCACGGAAAAAACACGTGGTAGGTGCGAAATCATATAGAGAAGGACTTGGGAAGCAGGAGAGAGCGCAACATTTTGACAAACTAAAGTTAATATGTGGTAAAGATCCGAACGAGTTAGCTTCTCTAGCACGTAACATTACTGCAATTCTTCCATCTATTTATTATCCCGACATAGGATACGTTCAGATTGTCAGTCCAAAAAAGCACATGAAATCCGTTTCAAATTACATCCATATGTGGTTTGAAATCCTATTCAAATCACATATCAGGACATCAGCCTCAGTCTGAACGATCGGATTTCGCGTGGTATGTCTTAAAATGCAAACGTCATTTATAGGAAACATGCTGAAAGTCACTGCCGAAACAATGCTGTGTTGTTGCAAATTGCCGGACGAGCAGAAAAGTAACGTTATTATTTCTGAAACCGGCGCAGACGAGCGTGGGGAAAAAGCAGTAGGCTACATACCAGCCTCCAGTAGTCCAGCGCGCCAGTAGCTGATGCTGTACCTCTCTCAACCACAAACGCCTTCTTTCATCAGTTTTTGCACTCTTCTCTTTAACTTTTGACAGTCTATAGCACTCAACATGTTTTTTCCCGATGTGACTGATTGGTACAGACCAAAACTCGACCATTTTTTAGCAGCAATAATCACCCAAATTTGCGAGTCCATTCAGTTCAGTGGCATTATTTACGTTCTGTGCCTCCAAAATGGCCGACTTCCGGATTGATGACGCGTCGTGAAACCCCTCTATTGCGGTAGAAGAGAAAACAGCGCGAATAATGACAGTGCAAACGAATCCGAACTAGCAAGGTTTAGGTTTGGGAAAGTTTCACAAAACTTCAAATCAAGAATGCTGTCGTGTGCAATGTTGGGGTGCAAGAGGAAACATCCCGGCAAAAGAGGAGCCGGTGAGAAGTGAGTGTTCTCCAGCTGGAGCTAACTAACCACCAGCGGCAAATCTCTCTTTATTAGAGAATGCAATACTACTAATAATAGTAATAATATTATCAATAGTAATATAATTACAGTAATGTGATGACTTATTTTGTATAGAATAAAGCTTGATCGAGCTTAGGAGTCAGGGCTGTTTTTATTATTGTAACACTATTAGTATATTAGGTATTATTATAGTCTTATCACTTGCCTGTATTTTGTTCAATAATCATGAAGACTTACAAAACGAGATGTTATATCCTTCCTATGATATAGGAAGAATATCACGGCAGTCACTTTATCATACTATAAATTAAAAGGGAATGAGAACGTCTCTGTCAGCTCAATTGTCATGTAAAAAAAGATTGTAATTTTATAATTATAATAATTGTTTGCAGATTAATATTTTACCATTCTTTGTGTCCTGAAGTAAATGTCCCTTTTTCTGTTTCAGTTCTAAGAAAAGCAGTGGGCCTATTAAACAATGCTTAGAGAGCATTTGTGTGTGATTTGAGTTGGACCGAAATCTGAAAACTTAAAGAGAATGACCTGTTTAGTTGGCTCAAAGTTCATTAAAACAACTATTTCAAAAGCTGAAGTGATTTTCTTTTTTTATATTATAGTTAGAATATGTATAACTCAATGTTTTAACTAATTGGAAAAGCTGAATAATCGTTCCAAACTTACTGATCAGTCTGCGAAATAATCGACGATTAGTCGATTAATCGTTCTAATAATCGTTAGATTAATCGATTATCAAAATAATCGTTTGTTGCAGCCCTAATCATCATCACTATCCTCCATCACTGGAACACACACTGCATCATCACTGCATCATCATCTCTATCATCCATCACTGGAACACACACTGCATCATCACTGCATCATCATCTATATCCTCCATCACTGGAACACACACTGCACTGAACTGCATCATCATCACTATCCTCCATCACTGGAACACACACTGCATCATCACTGCATCATCATCTCTATCATCCATCACTGGAACACACACTGCATCATCACTGCATCATCATCTATATCCTCCATCACTGGAACACACACTGCACTGAACTGCATCATCATCACTATCCTCCATCACTGGAACACACACTGCACTGAACTGCATCATCTCTATCCTCCATCACTAGAACACACACTGCACTGAACTGCATCATCATCTCTATCCTCCATCACTGGAACACACACTGCACTGAACTGCATCATCATCACTATCCTCCATCACTGGAACACACACTGCATCATCACTGCATCATCATCTCTATCATCCATCACTGGAACACACACTGCATCATCACCTCATCATCATCTATATCCTCCATCACTGGAACACACACTGCATCATCACTGCATCATCATCACTATCCTCCATCACTGGAACACACACTGCATCATCACTGCATCATCATCTCTATCATCCATCACTGGAACACACACTGCATCATCACCTCATCATCATCTATATCCTCCATCACTGGAACACACACTGCACTGAACTGCATCATCATCTCTATCATCCATCACTGGAACACACACTGCATCATCACTGCATCATCATCTATATCCTCCATCACTGGAACACACACTGCACTGAACTGCATCATCATCACTATCCTCC